GTTGGCGGCTGCCTTTGAGCTGCGGGTTCAAGACGACAGAAGCTGTGGGAAGTAGGACACGGTCACCGCTTGGGCTGATGGGCACACGGCGCTGACACTTGACATTTATAGCGCGTGCTTTCTAAATCCTAACGGTCGGAGAAGAGAAAAGTGGTAGATACTGGGGGTTGTTCTGGCTGCTTCGCCTTCTCCGGTTACGTTAGTTCAGCGTGATGTGGAACCTGTCCCTGGTCCCCACTGGCAGGATGCACGGGGAGGCTGGGAGGGAGGTGGGCGTGGGGCAGGCAGCACCGTGCGATCCTCTCCTCCCCGCCCAGGCCCAGATGAAGGACCTCATGCGCGAGCTGGACGACACACGCGTCTCCCGCGAGGAGATCCTGGCGCAGGCCAAGGAGAATGAGAAGAAGCTCAAGAGCATGGAGGCCGAGATGATTCAGCTGCAGGAGGTGGGCAGGGCCCCCAGGGGCACTGGGCGGCTGCCCTCCAGTGGGCAGAGAACGCTCAGGCCCTTCTCCTGGCCTGGCCACCCACGTCACCAGGGCAGGGCTGGAAACAACCTGGCCAGACTCCAGGAGTGAGCTGGGCAGGGTCTGGGTGTTCAGAAGGACTCCCTCCGGGGTGGTCTCATCATGTGGCAAGGCTCCCTCATGTGATTAAAGGGTATGGCCGACACTTTGGCACCGGGCCCTGGGGTCCTGGCATGAAGTGATAACCATCTCCTGCCATGAACCGTACCCCCCGGCTGCCTTGTCCATCACACACATGCCAGGCACGTGGCAGATCCCGGGTCAAGGGTCTTCTGTGGTGGGATGTGACCAGAGTCCAGGCATCCTGGTCTGCTCTCTCCTGTGGTGGTCCCTCCCTTGATGGTCACGTGCTGCTCTCTGCCGAGGCCCGTCATCTCAGGGTGAAGCCCGTCTCCTTTTCCTGACTTTTCTAGCCCTCAGGCCCTGCCTTGTGTCTCTGCCTGGTCCTGGTCCCTCAGGAGGGATGGGCTTGGCGTATCTCTGTCCACGTGGTCTGCACTGTTAGACCAGGAGGTTTCTTATGTATCTTCACAGCCCCAGCACCTGGCTTGATTCCTAGCACTAAGATGGAGGGTTTTGTAAACACGTGGTGCTTCAACTATGACCCTGCAGGGAGGAGTCAGCCATGATGCTGGAGGGCGTCGTGAGGAAGGGCTTCATGGAGGAGACAGGCTAAAACAGGGTTCGAGAGAAGAGCGCCATGGCCTGGGGAAGGAAGGGGGCGGTTAAGTGTGGAGGGCTATGGCTGCCTGGAGGGTCACTCTCTGGGTTCTCATGGCAGGAATTGGCAGCCTCCGAGAGTGCCAAGATCCAGGCCCAGCAGGAGGGGGATGAACTAGCCGACGAGATCGCCAACAGCAGCGTCAAGGAGTAAGCCTGGTGGGTGGCAGAGGTGGGGGTGGGTGTGCCTGTCTGGGATGGCACCTCACCTGTGTCTATTGTCCAGGGCCATGGCCCTGGAGGAGAAGTGGCGTCTGGAGGCCCGAATCGCCCAGCTGGAGGAGGAGCAGGGCAACACGGAGCTGGTCAATGACCAGCTCAAGAAGGCCAACCTGCAGGTGTGGTCAGGGCTGGCTTCCCTCAATGCTGGGACTGCATGCAAGTTCTCCATGCCCCTACAGCCAAGTGGGCCTCACTGACGCAGCTGGCAGAAGCATAGGCATGGGGGGAAATGCCCTGGCACCTGTGACAGTCCCCTGCTTTCTCTCATGGGTGTTTAGAAGTGCCTGGACCCTACTCATGGCTAGTGCCCTTTCCTGGGATGGCTGTGATCTCGGGCCCCCAGGGCTGTGGGACCCTGCTGTCCCCTCCCCTCCAACCCTGCTTGTGCCGTCTGGCGGGCCCCACCTTCCTCGAGATCAGCAGCCCCCTTCCTGCAGATTGACCAGATGAACACGGACCTGAACCCGGAACGCAGCCACG